GAGTGTGTCACTGCACTCCAGCCTGGGCAACAGAGTGAGAGTCTGACTCAAAAAAAAAAAAAAAAAAAAAAAAAGGTCTAACCAGAAAAACCCAACTTCAAAACAGGTTAATATGTCACTTATTAATCAAATCACTGTTCCTTCTGGAGTAACTTAGAATTTTCTTTAAAACATGAGCTGTACTTTTAAAATTGTGTTTGAGAGTTTAATTGAAATAGATTTGATTAGGAATTAGACTGGAAAATTTGCAAGCTCAGACATGAAATGAACTATGGAGTTGGGGAGAATTACCTGATTTAATATCACATTTTAGAAGAATAGCATATGGTCCTAAAAATGTCAGAATTCAGATATAAATGTTGAAAATCACTGAGTTCGCCTACTTGTACAAAGAAGCAATTTTTAGAATCCAGTTAAATTTTACCAGCCGCAGAATCAAATCCATCGTGATTCTAAATTGTCACTTGGCATAAAGCTGGAAACATAGCTCTTTCATTCAACAAATAATGAGCACATACTATACATTAGATACAGTCAACAAGAATGAAAAGAAAAAAAGAAGATTCTGTCCTCTTGGGACTTAGACTGATTCATTTCTCCAAATGTCTAAACCTAAATACGCTAATAACAAATTGGAGTTTACAACGATCCATTTCTCAAAACTTAAAAACTTATTGCTCAATATTTAAAAAAAAAAAAAGACAGCCTGGGAGGAGATAATTCTGCCAAAAGCTCCCATGTATGAATTCTGCACTTGGAGGGAAAAAAACAATCCCTAACCAGTTTCCCAGAAATACGAACCAAAACACCGAGGTGGAAGTTAGGCTGCGCACAAGGCTGCCTCTGCCGGCCGACCCGGTACAGCCTTTCAGCAGAATCTCAACTCCCGACACCTGCATCCAACTTGCCACTCTTGGACACATCCCTTCACGCCAGCCACGGGCCCCCACGCGGGCGGCAGAAGACGACCCCAGCCTCGCCGACCTCCCGAATAATTCGACTTCTAGAGGACCGTCCCTAAACGGGCCCCTGCGCGTGGACGGGGAGGGTTCGCGCCATCAGCCGTCCACACCAGCCAGCCAGCCCCGAGACACACGACATCCACGGCGACTTCCGCGCGCCGCTCGCATCACGCCTCGCCTGGCCACGGCATCCGGCGAGAAGGGCCGGAGGAACGCATCTGCCGGCCCGGGGACCCCACGCAGCCACGGATCCCTCCCTCGGCTGCTGGAAATCCAACGGTCCTC